GAATTTGACTCACCCACTCGTTGGAGCAATGACAGCGGGCGAGGGTCAAAGTTAGTAAAGCTTGATGCATGATGCATGCTGGCATCATGGTAGTTATTCTGAATTTCTGATGAACTTCAAATTTGACTCAGTTGTCGTAATCCACACGTGCTGAATGACAAAACAGGATCGTGAGCTGCACGATAAATCTGGAGCAAACTTGAATATGCTGACGAATAACGAAAGTCCACGATTCTAAAAAATAAGGTAATACATGATTTCACCCCAGAATCACATCCGCACAGCTCTTAGGATTGCATTTTTATCAACTGCGATACCCTTTCCTTCGTGTGGCGAGGGGTGAATATGCACGGGAACACAGGGTGCCTGCATCGGCTGCCTCAGATAGAATACAGGGATCCCCGAGGATGACTCACGTCGTTAAGCCTCCGGTCCATTCCACTCCTTCAGCATCAGGCCCGATATTCCATCCTGGCGCACGTTCCAACCGGAAAACAGTTAGAATATGTACAACTGCGGCGAATAAAGAAGCATCGACGACATGTCGTCCAACACTGCTGAAAGGTAAGGCAAACACGTCTATTCGCAAAACTCCAGACTTCGTACCAAACACGCCTTCCAAATCCAAAAACAAAGGAAATATCATCAGGGCCGGGTTTTGACGGCCCTTTTGACATGTGACGCTCGGGTATGAACCTCGTCGGGTTAGGAAATTTATCTGGATTGCGCGCCATAAACCTTGTATAAGAAGAAATGGTTATGTCTGATCTTTGTTCACTCGATATGATGAATCACCATGCGTTGGGTATTATAGTAGCTCCTTAAGAAACAGTTTTAGAAGAGGGATAGGTCTCTCCGTCCATAGACTGACCTTTTGGAATATAGTAGCCTTCGTAGATGTCGTCATTTACCGCGGCATGTGCAACGCCTAAATCCACAGTCAGTGAGCATGCTAACCGGAGTTCGACGAGTCAAGAGTGCTGACCCAGAGGGGCGACAGGGAACCACCTTAGCGTCTCCAGTATGATGGCATTGATGTAGGGCATAGAAGCGCGATCATCCCAGTCGGGCAATCTTTCGAGTGTTTCCCCAATGATGGAATCAATCTCTGCTTGCGCACGTGTTTGCACCTCGGGATATAAAATCATCGCGAGCAGGAAGACACACAAAGCGGACATCGTCTGTGCCTTTGGTCAGTATATAAATAAAATAGAAATCGCGTCAAAGCATACAGATCCTGAGGCGGCTAGGAGCACGGAGAAAATGAGTGAAAAATATAATGACCATTGCATACTTGTCACGAACCAGCATAAGCAGTTGCACTGGATTCCTTAATCCCTTTCTCAAGAACAGCAGCCTCCCCTTCATCTTTTGTTTTAACTGGTATACGTTTCAATGCATCCGACACCACGGATGGTGCAGCCGTCCCCGCCGCCTGAGAATCATCATGAGTTTCATCTCAAATCAAAAGGCACTTGGAACTTGCCATGTTGGTCTTCACATGTTCAAAGGGCATGTCCACAATCATAGGAACGAGGGTTCTCTGAAATATGGCATCCCTTACAAAGCTCGCTCCAGGGAGCCAAGGAGGAAGTTTTTCCACTGTGAGTGCATTAGAATAGAACTACAGCTGATCGAAGTTATACGCACATATGGGAAACTGTGTTACAACAGCTGCAACCTCGGGCCTGAATAATTTTATATCTATCTCAAGTGAGCGATCAACAAGCGCAAGGAAGGGATCATCAACGGGCGCTATAGCATAGTCATACATGATTGACATGATGATAGACGTGCTGAAGCTACGTAGAAAGTATGGTTCAGCCACGCAATACATGAAATGGGAGATTACTAACACGTTAAAATGGGTTCCATACACCTCCGGAGAGGTTAGCAGGTTTAGTATCAAACTGCGAGTATTGCGCATTTGAATCGGACGGAAGGATGACACTGCTTTTAAATGGAATGCTTCATGGAAGATTCGCCTGTCTGTAAAGACACGATAAGTGCGATAAGAGAGCTCGAAGGGATAATATACTAACGAAGTTTTAACTTGTCTGAGTAGGGTAGAAAGGTAGTGGAGTAGTCATGACTAAAACTAGGACTCGTTTAACAATGGGTACATCAAACGATAGAAGGGCCTCACAAGTCAAGAACATGCACAAGCCCTGGGGGTCTCGTGGAATAGTTATGTGAACGACGGTCGAGCAAGTCATGCGCAACTCTTTCGGAGTTGATGATCACGATATCCTGACTAAAGAGTCGGGTGTAAACGATTTCCCCTGTGTCGCAATTCAGCACATCCAGATTCACATGTGGGTGGCTCTACGCACCATACTCAGTTCCCCATCTTGAGTATGCGAACCATGGATGATCTAGATCGATTCCGATCACATTTCCAACAAAAGGGAGAGGTGGAGGACCAGGGGGTAAAGGATGCCCCTTAGTGTTTCTCTTCCTTTGCAAGGATTGCACTACCACGAAAGATACAAGCGATGCGAGGGCGAGGGCGAGTGCAAGTCCTACTGTTGGGGCCATCAGTTGAACCGAATAAGTAACTGAAGCTCCCCGTATGCGTCTGGATTTTGTACGGCCGCTGACTGGAACCTTGCCGGAGAGACGACAAGGAACACTAAACGAATCAAGCGGAGACAACTGGATGAAACTGTGGATTTCTTGAGTATTATATGGATGAGTACGTGAGGGTTGGTAGGAGACCCGAGTCTGGCGTAAAGTAATACGAAAGCAACATTTATATATGGGAAAATTTGTGCTTGTGTTTTCATCAGACCTCTTCTGTATTTCGGTACGTCCTTGCGGTGTGTCTATGTCTTCATCAGACCTCTTCTGTGCTGCGATGTGTTCTCGTAATACGTCTATGTCTTCGTCTGGCTTCTTCTGCGTTGTGAGGTGTCTGCTTTGCTGAGGTCTGTTTGCGTCTTGATCAGGTTCCTTCTGCGTTGTGGTGTACTTTTGTAGTACGCTTGTTCCTTCGAGCTCCGAGTCTTGTCCCGGGACCCATACGTCAGCTTCCGGGCCGTATTCGCGCCAGCGGATGAGGTGTTAGCAACCGCGTCCACGTCTTCTTTTCTTGATCGTTTTCTCTATCTCCCACTCTTCCGTTCCAGTCGTTGTTACCACCGGTCCTGGATGTTGAAGTTCCCGTGAAGGAAAGAGTTCCGCATTGTTCGACACCTGCCGTTTCAGCTCTAAAACATGGAAGGTGGGGTAGACATTAATATGTTCAGGTAGGTCTAGAGTGTAATTCAGGCTATAATGTGATTCTTGTGCATAAAAAGATGCTCACTAGCAGACTATTGTGATGCATTAACATTGCTAGGGCGCAGTCATGCATTAGCATTATCCCAGTGGGGAAGTAGACTCGTAACCAGTCTGACTATGCGTCAATCTGAGATTCTGAGATGGTGAGAATGGATTGACGTAGTCACCACTCGAGTATCCGTGGTAGTATACGCCAAGCTGGTCACGAGCCTAGTTGGGAAGGTGATACATCACTTGTGCATTGCTTCTCCGCTGGCATTGTACCACACGCGCGTTAAGAAGACAAGGCGTCTGGAGACGCGACGTGTTCATGAGCTAGGACGCACAACACGGCACCGTTTTTGGTATATGCGGAGTTTGAAAGTGCAAGTTCTTCCAGACGCCTTGTCACACATTTCCTTCGCGGCTGGTTCACGAGACTAGTCCGCTGGCATACGCACATCGTTCTCGCTGCTTCTTTGATATGTACCTTGCTTATTAACCTACCCTACACCTAGTCCCTACCCCTCGGTGCTTTGTGGTGTACCTTGCTTACCTACGCTGCATCCAGGTCTCTGCCTATTGGATTTCCCTCCACCCGCCATGTCTTTGTGTTCCAGAGCTCTACTGTGTTGTCCATCGAGCCACAGGCCAGAAATGTGCTGTCTGGAGAAAAGTCAAGCGAGAAAATCTTGTTGGAGTGGACATGGGTTGGGTGAGAGATTCGCCGTCCCTGTTCCAGGCTATGAGCTACCCACCAAAATCACCGCTTGCTATGAATTGCCCGTCTCTCGATACTGCAGCTGCTCGTATGCCCCAGTGATGCCCCTCCATTATCTTCAATGCGACATCGTTTTCCAAGTCCCATAGATGAAGGGTCTTGTGGCACAAGGCCGTCACCATACGGTGTCCATCGGGAAATTCTGCACCTGTAAATACACTATATCTGTGGCTTCTAAATATTTGACTAGTCGTGGTGATTCGGATGGCAGGATGTTCATCTTCCGTCATTCTGCTCGAGGTGGACGATGTGGAGCGCGATTTGCTGGAGAGCTTGTGAGTGTCTTGATCCAAGAGGTGCAGGGCCTTTTTGCTTCTTCACAGCCTCAATCTGCGTATTGGACGCCCAGTGCATCAGGCACTCGGACCGCCGCTGCGAAGTGCAGGTATCTCCTAGTAAGTATAATTCCCATGGTTGCTTGCTCATTGGATCGAAGTACGAAGCTGTGCAGTCAAGGAGACATGGCCGACGCCACTACTACACTCAAACGAATATCCGATCCAGTGTGATAGTGATGCCCGCTGCGTCGAAGTGCGCTCGATGTTCGCTATCCGGTGAGCGTCTTGCGATTGCAGCAGAGTCCAGACAGTAATATCTAATTGATAACCCAAGCCTGATCTATGCACCAGGGAATGCGCCGGGTTATTACACTAGATGGCAGCCTGCCACCGCATACGAATAATCGTGTATGCTCCATTGCAAACGAACTATGTACTTAGGTGATTTCAATAGCAACGAATCCAAACGACCGGATGCATTACTCAACACGGTCCAACTTGTGCACATGTTGACTCTAATGCAGACAATATCGTCCTCTGCAACCACCTCGAAAGCACATGGTGCCTCTGCATGTCAAATTTTGAAATCTTGTATTTGCGAGGGTCATTTGCAGGCTGTGTATGATATATGAGGCTACGATAATGTGATTGTCGACGTGTTGTAAAAAAAAAGCATTCAGCTACAATATGTCTAGGGTCCTGATGTTCGTAATGTCAATCGAAGCCGGGTGTTTCACCTGCGCAATGATATATTGGTCCGACGCGACCCTCTTGTATTCTCCAACGCGTTGCTGCGCTACCAAAAGTGCGCTGAAAGCCTGCCCAAGGTGAACCATCAAACGCAATGATCGTGAGTGAACATCCGAGTCAACTGACAACTCCTCTTCTCCAGGTGAGTTGCTGGACGACTCTTCAGTGTCGTCTAATCCAGACTGGGACTCGGACCAATCCCTTACGCTCTCCCCTTCGTCTGCAAAGGTGGGCTGCTCTGAAAAATCAGGCAGCTCAAAGAGACGACGATCCCATGGACGGACAAGAAAGAAAGTCTGCCGAGTGGGTCTTGCGCGCGAGAATTGAATTAGGGTCTCGTCCGTGGTGATCAGCAAGTCTCGAAGCCCATCTGCTTTCACTCCATACGTGAAATGAGCAGCGAGACCCCACCTTCGTCTGACTTCCGTGACACGGAATGCGATGCAAGGCAGATGGAGTCTGCAGTTTGCGAAGAGTGGAGCATTCATGTTCTCGAGCAGGTTGTACAACTTTAAAGCTGAATTCACAGGCACAATATTTCGCAACAAAGAGACTGCTGTCTGAATTTCATCTTCAGACAATGATGGTAGAGAGCATGGCGGGGCCGCATATGAGATGATGTCGGCTGGAAGGCAACTATTGAACTCGGACGATCGTCCGACCCAGTCCAGGCAACTGATGTCGCCCGATCTAGCCACAATCTCCTGCAGGAGCCGTCCGAGCGCATTTTGCTTCTTCTCGCCATAGATTACAGGCATGTGGACGTCGAAGATACCAAACAACGAGTATGCGATGTCTTCCTGCATCGTGGTGACACGTTTTGATGCCCATCGCAGCTTCTCTCGAGCGTCTCTCATCCCTGGACGGAAGGAGATCAGGGCCTGTGCATCTATTCCCGTCGCACCCTCCAACTCCTTCATGATTTCTGGGGACTCTTTGTGGTTGGGAGTGCGATCGTTTCGATATAATGACCAGTCGTTGTGATAAAATACAACGACTTGGGGAGCGACGAATTCTTGAAAGGTCCATCCTCGTTCGTTCCAAATACTGTTCGCCAGTGTGCTGGACGGGGATGAAGGAGGAACATCGGATAGGTAGACTATGGTGAGCGCTGAGTGACGGTACCAGACGAACATGGAATTGACCGATTCTTGAAGCTCGACGTTGTTGCTCTTATCGATGCAGCATGTATCCATCCACGCCCAGAAATACCCCGCATCACGAGCGATTTTGCAGAATGACTGCAGTTTCGCGGTGCCACCGAGTCCATCCAACTCGTACACCGCTTTGTCCTGGATGTGGTGCAGCAGCGCCTCCGTCTCTTCCCACCTGTGTGATAGCAAAACGCAACGGAAGTGCATTGCCACCACCTCCTTGATGCGTTCCATTTGGAGATCAGAACGCTTCGTTATGGATGACAAAAGCTCTTTGTATTCTGTACTTGTTTTGAGGAAGTTCAGCTGTGCTGTTCGGTCGCACAAAAGACCCGTAGAGGTGTTGAGCAGACGAAGGGGGGCGTTGCTAAGTTCGATCCAAACCGCTCCTCGAATAGCGTCTTCTGCTTCCGATGGACGGACGTACTGCTGACGCAGATCTGCAGAATAAGATAGGCATTTCGAGACGAGGTAGTAATGTTCCATGGCTTACCTCGTATCTGAGCTTCGGGAGCTTCGTCCAGCTTGGACAACATGATCGTGAAGGCCTCGATGGCTTCTTCGTAACGTTGCGCGCCACGCAGCGCTGAGTGTGACAACTGGTACCCAAGATGAGACGAAGGATTGAGGTCGGTGACCTATGCATCGCCGAAGTCAACATGGGCTACGAAAACGTGGATGCCATCGCACCTTTCGCGCATCGAGGAGCGCATCCTCCCAAAGCATTTTACTCAACTTTGCCTCGCTGCGACTTGCAAAGAGGATATCGGATGCATAATCCAGGTCGATCGCCATCGAGTATAGGTCAATAGCCTTGTCGTAATCGCTTGCAGCGAAGGCAGCCTCTCCATTGGCAGCGCAGAGTGCGCTGCATTCCTGTTTGAAATCTGAGAAGAATACAGGTGAGGATTGTCGCCTACGCGGCATTACTGGCTCTAGACTCGCCGTTGGACCAATCAAGGCAGTCGGCCTTGGTGATTTCGTCACTTGAAGTCATCATGCGTTGGTATGATTTCACGGCATCTTGGAGTTTACCCGTTCGGAGGAGTGCATCACAGCGTTTATGATGTGCCTTTCGCCACAATGAATTCAGGTCCCAGCCAAAGAGCTGGACAAGGAATTCAGTTATGAAAAGCGTCATATAGGCATCATCTTGACGTACCACCACCAAATCTTCACATATGTCATGAATGTCCGATTCCGATGATAAATCGCTGGAGTCGATGGCGGCAGTGAAATAGTCGCCGGCTTCGTCATAACGTGCATCATCCAAGGCGAGTTGAACGTGTAGATATACCTAATGTGCGAGTTGTAAAGATGAGTGTTGAAACGTTGATGACCAAGCATGGATGATACTTACTTGCACGATATCACGTGCGAGAGTATCGGTATTCGGACAACCGGCAGCGAGCTCTTTGAGGAGCAGGTTTGCCTCGTCATGTTGATCTGCATTGAAGAGCGCGATGGCCTGAAATGTGCGATGAGGGAAAGAGTATGCGAGGTAAATGTAACATACCATACCTTGATCAATAGCAGAAAATGAGTGATTTCTGAATCCTGGTCCGTGTACATGGATGCAACATCAAATGCTGCCCTCCCATCCAGGACCCGGCCTTTTCCACAGAGGGCAATACCCTTGGAGATATAGCCTGTCAATGAGGGCTGAATCCTGATGGACTATGTCACCGTCAAGTTAGTTCTGTATCATAAGGTGGCGATGATTCTCACCTTGATTGCGTCCAGAAGGGCGCGGTCCCAGTCGCATTTTCGCGCCATGACGAATGACCGATGGGCGTAGGAAGTATGGTTGTTCGGACTGGTGTTGATATCTTGAGTGAGTAGTTCTTCGGCGGTAGATAAGTCTCCATTTAGACATGCAATACGGGAGGTCGTGATGGCTAGGATCTGCACGAAACACGCTCTAATTGTGGTATATATGAGTCGAGAACGGACACATGCCTTTGAGCGATGGACGTAGGGAGTATGGTTGTTCGCGTCGGTATTGATATCTTGCATGAGTAGCTCTTCGTCAGTAGATACGTCTCTATCTATGCATGCATCGAGGACTGCTGTGGTGGCAATAGTCTGCAAGAAACATGCTCGATTTGTTGTATATGAGTCAGAGACAGAAACATGCCTTTGGATGTATACCCTGAGATACTGTCCACTCTGAGATCATCTTATCGTTACCTCCACTGAAGATGTGATTGCCGTCCATGGAGAAAGTGACGCATAAATTGGCGAATGAGTGCTTGAAGACGGCAATGGTTTGTCGATCTGAGAGCTGCCAGAGACGAACATGGTTGTCACTAGATGCGGATGCGACGAGTGTGCCAGCAGGATGAATGGCAATGGCTTGGATGTAGTCAGTGTGGCCTGTCCAAGGATCACTGACCTGCTTCCAGGTTTTTGTATCCCATTCGCGTAAGGTAGGATCAGAATTATTGCCGCCTGTGAGCAGGCGTGTGCCATCGGGCGTCCACGCGAGTGACGAGTTCCATGATTTGTGACCCGCGAAGGATGTGATGCGTTTCCTTGTGCCTGAATTGTAAATTTGAATATTTTTTGTTGTTGCGATGGCAAGAAGTTTTCCAGATGATGAATACCGTACACAGGTGACAAATTGACACTCGATCGTCTCTCCTTGCAGCTCCCAGGTTTTGGTATCCCACAGTTTTGTCATTTTTTCCCTAAATGAACCAGTCGCCAGCACTGTTCCATCAGGAGAAAAATCCAGCGAGGTGATATATTGTGGCGGTTACCTTGATCGAACCGGCCACAGTCTAGAACCGGACCCTGTTGGCCGCATGTCGGGCCAAGCCTCAGAACGTATTTGATTACTTCGACTCATGTTTCATTATTTTCTTTAATCACGGGCACTCTACTCACCAGTATATAAACCCTACTCTGGCTGTAAAGTTCCCTTAGTTCTTTTCCAATCTACCCGGACTGATATCTGGTTAACGTTGCGCGAAAGACTCTATTGTTTTTGCTATTGTGCCGTTACATCAAGTCTGTGACTTCGACTAGCGTCACATATTTTTTAACCTTCCCCAGTCTTATCTTAATTCGCTTGTAACAAAGCCCCTCCTACTTTTGTCACTACCGCTGACTGGTCTGGCCCACCACGTCCTCGAACCGTGACGATGACAAAAAACACATCCACGAAGACCTATAACCTTCGCTCGCGCACTCGCACTAGAGCCAGTTCAGTTTCTACCCCCGCAAGTGAGAAAAATGCACTGGTGAGAGATGTCTACGCAAATTTTATTGTTGATCTTCTGTCTTTAGCCGATAAAGCTGCGAAGGATCCTGTTCCAGTGGACGGGACTCCAGCGCCGGCTGAATCTCCTCTGACCTCGATAGAAGGGTCTCCGAGGACCGAGGCTAAAAGCCCAACTGCACTGGAAACCACTCGTTCGTATAGCGAGGTGGTCCGTGCGAGTAGCCCTGCATCGGACCATAGGGTCGGGCAGGAGAGTATAACAGATCTAGACGGCATCAATGCCCGTGCAAATGATAATGTTAGCACCCCAGCTGGAGGAACAAATGATCATGTTACCTTTCGAACAGCTAACGAGGGGAGTGAGAGCTCCGGAGAGAGCGACGACGGTGATGACCGTCCATGGACCACAGTAGGCCGAAGGAGCCGCCGTGGCTTAAAAGACTTAACAGAACAGGCGAAGAAACCTGGAGAGCTCACTGTTGAGCAAATTAAAACGGTAGACACGGCCAGGAAGAGCCTTACTGAAGCCGAGCGAGTGAGGCTGAGCCAACGCGAAGCCAATATCAAACAGCACATGTCCAACCGCCAAAAGACCAGAGGACCTGAGACCGCCGGCCCATCCAAGGGCAAGGGTGCGGACCCAGGAAACTGGGGTGCCCTGGACAGCGAGGAGGACATCGACCTCGAGGGGCAGCGAGCTGCCCTCGAATCATATAAGGCAGCTAAAGAATTAGCTGAGGCGTCAGATTCTGCTCATGAGTCGGAGGAAAACGGATCGCTTACTGGTCCAGATCCACCGTTAGCGAGCAGTGACGAGCAACCCGACGACATCTTCACCCGAGCTGTGAGAGAGCAGCAAGTGGTTAAGGAGGCGGTCAGAAGGGCCGAAAGACGCGTGAGACAGGAGTATGAGCAAAAGATGAAAGAGCTCACCTCTAAATTGAAGGGAGACAGGCGCGCTCATACACACGAGCCTGCCAGAGCCTGGATTGACCCTGTTGAGAAAATAGTCAACAGGGTAGTGGATCCAGAGACCTCCCGAAGGGAATGAAGACGTACCCCGCAGGCAATGGAGCCCGTGGGGCAGGTGGCAGCCAAGTCCTACATCAGGCAGGCACTGGGACGCCTCGGAAAGGGATATGATGATGGTGACGAGTCTGACTCGTCATCCAGCTCGAGCTCAAGCTCAAGCTCAGACACGTCGAGCTCTAGCAGCGACGATGTGAGGAGGAAACATAAGAAATCCTCTAAGAAACGTTCTAAAAACAAGAAAACAATGTTGAAGCCTATAGCACCTACCACGTACGACGGAGCTGTGGACTCACGAGCCTTCCATCGGTTTATCACCGAGGGGACAGCCTATGTGAAGGACGGACATGTGAAGTCCAAAAAGAGAGCCTTCGTTCTATCCCATTTCCTAAAAGGAAAAGCGCATGAGTTCTACATACGAGAGGTATCGGGAGACCCTTACCGCTGGAGACTGCGCGAGTTCTTCACGGAAATGTTTAATTACTGTTTTCCAATCAATTTTAGAACCAAACAACGTGAAAAATTGAAGAGATGTTTTCAAAACGACAAACCTGTGAGGGACTACGTCTATGAGCTCAACGAGCTATGGAATATGATCGGTGACGTGGACGAACAGGACCGGGTGACTCGACTCTGGACAGGGTTGTCAGCAGAAATCCAGAGGGAACTCTGGAAAAAAGAGCTCAACCCGGAAATCTCCACCTTTAAGGAAGTACAGGCAGCGGCTGAGATCATTGAGATCGCTCACTCTGTACCCATGGGACGAGAGAAGCGATCCGGGCAAAAGGAAAGGGCACCGGCGGCCATCACGGCCGGAGCAACAACGCCCGTATCGAATCCTAGGAGGAATAGGGACAGACGGTCCCAGCAGGATGACCGGACAAGGGCAACCAAACTGGGTCCAGGTGGTAACCAATCCAGGAACCCTGGAAAGGATAATGTCCGCCGGAGGAATGAATTAAGCCCAGACGAGCGAGATCGCCGCCGGGCTGAAGGAAGGTGCTATGTGTGCGGAGAGGCAGGGCATATATCACGTCAGTGCCCGAAAAACACGCATGTACAGTCAAACGTACCTAATAAGCCGCCGGGGGTACCCAGTTTTGGGGTACACATAGCCAGCGGGGACACCGAGCACCTAAGGGAGCTCGCTGAATCAACAACGACCCAGGATGAGGTATTCCTGGGATCGACGGCTTTATGGCTGGAGGACGTGGACTCCTCCTGTCCACCGTCCCCAAAGGTACGACCTCGGGGATTCAGAGACCCTACCGCGAGACGTGCAGCCGATCTCCTGCAGGGGATTAAGTACCCAGGAGACGAGCGTGGAGACCTGGATCAGGACTGGGACGACCATGACCGGTTCAACGTGTACTCAGTATCTGAAAATGAATATATAATTGAAGATTACCTTCATAAGGACCGGGAAGTGGACCTAAGGGTGCATCAAGCGTGTCTCGAAAATCCCCATTATCGAATCGATAGTGCCTATTGGATTCACCTAGGAGCAGCGTTAGGATATCGCAAACGCTGGCTGAGAGCCAAAGACCGAGAACGTACAGATAAGAAACCGGCCATGGGAGATGCCGTGGCTGAGCGAATCGTTTGGTGGTTAGAGGAGTACTCTCCCAGCTGCTCATCGTGTGGTCCAGCAGCGCGATTTGCGTGTCGACGTCTAAAAGATGAAGACTACGAGATACATGACAAGGGGCTGGACTTACAGTTGAGAGTCCCTAGATCCAAAACTCGTCAACGACGATGGGACCCGGAACGATGGTACTCCCGCCAAGTACGACGGATCACAGCTAAATTAAACTTTAAGCTGTTAACGGTGAACGATGATCAGTACGAAGGTATTACCCGAATGCTACAACTACCACTCAAAGTGGCTGAAGAATTGTGGGATGACGGGGACCTCATTGATCTCCCGTTCATGGACGAGGAACTAGAGGAGTCCTGGACAAATGTTAGCTTATGCGGAGTGCAAGTACCTAGAGACACGTACCCTGCACTACAGCGAAACTCGGCAACAACGAGGGATTTTAAGCGTGCCATTCCCAAACCCATCGTGGTGATAGTCCAAGTAAATGGACGGCCCGCTAGAGCGTTGATCGATACTGGATCCCTAGCAGATTTCATATCGTTAGCGACAGCCAAACAACTGAAGTGCAAGCTCACCGTGCTAGAAAAGCCACTAACGATCCAGTTGGCTGTACAAGGATCCCGGTCCAAGGTGAACTATGGGACCCAAGTAAGGTTTCAGTACCAGAACACCGATTACACTCGGTATTTTGACGTAATCAATCTACAAAACTACGATTTAATACTTGGGACACCATTTTTGTATCAGCACAGTGTGACGGTGGGATTCAACTCACCTAGGGTCATGCTAGGAAGTGTACCACCGCTACCTTTGAAGGGGAGCGGCGTGACGACGTTGGAATCAAGGGTGGTTGAGGTCTTCGAGGACCGGATTACGAAAGCCAGAGCCTATCTAACGGAGTTAGCACGACCACTATGCGCAAAGGCAGCTGATACTGCCTTACCTCCTCTGAGAGCCATAAATCATACTATCCCGCTGATAGATGACACCAAAATCTACTCCTGGCGACCTTCGCGATGCCCAGAACCTATGAGGCCACAATGGGCAGAGAAGAGAAAAGCATACCTTGCGTCTGGGAGATGGCAGATGACAAGCGCAGGGAACACTGTTCCCATGCTGTTCATAAAGAAGCCGGGCATGGACCGACTGAGAACGGTCGTGGACCTGCGGGAACGCAACAATAACACGCATAAGTTGACGTCACCACTACCAGACATGGAAGGGATCCTGCGCCACGTCGCGCGGAAGAAGTACAGGTCCCTAATGGACGGACAAGATGCCTATGAACAGATAAGGGTGATCCCGGAGCACGTGTCGTGCACAGCAATGACGACACCTGACGGAAACATGGTCAGCCACGTGCTGCAACAGGGAGACTGCAATGCCCCAGCGACTTACCAAGCCGTCATGAATTACCTGTTTGGGGAACATATAGGTATTTTCATGGACGTATACCTGGATGATATCATTATCTATTCGGATACGCTGGGAGAGCATATAGAGCACGTACGGATAGTCGTACAAATCCTGGAACGGGAGCAATTGTTCTTAAGTGAGAAAAAACTCAAGTTTTTGCAACCGGAGATGCGAATCCTGGGACGTTTGGTCAATGACGACGGAATCCGCATGGACCCCGACAAGGTGGATAAGGTGTTGAACTGGAAGGCACCTACCAATCGAGACCTGTGCAGGGGGTTCATAGGCGCGGTGGGGTACCTTGCGGACGACATACACAAAGTCCGCATCCCGCTAGGAGTGCTATCCGCAGTGTGTGGAGACACCATCCCCTTTCGTTGGGACGACACGGAGCAGCGCGCTTTTGAGGAAGTCAAACGTTATGTTGGGGCCTGCTCTGCACATCACAGAGTACCGCTCACCTATGGACCAGGCCAGCCTCAAATCTGGATGATGACAGATGCGTGTCCTACGGGGGTGGGAGGTGTTATCGCGCAGGGAGATGAATGGCAGAAGGCGACTATAGCTGCGTTCTACTCCGCGAAGCTGAATGCCGCACAACGCAATTACCCAGTGCATGAGCAAGAATTGTTAGCGGGCGTCGAAACAATGCTACGGCACAGGGACATACTGCAGGGCTGCCCATTCAAGTGGCTCACCGATCACAAAAGCTTGATCCACCTGTTGGGACAAAAGAACCTGTCAGGACGGCAGGCACGCTGGCTGGAAAAGCTGGGTGAATTTGACTTCACCATTGAGTACCTGCCAGGGGAGCACAACGTTCTACCGGATGCTCTATCCCGGATGTACGATTTTGATGCACCTGGTACAGTGCGCGCATTCAGTGAATATGTGGCGCATGACGAATGCGCACCGGGGGCCGACATATCTGAACTGGTCAGCATGCCAGTCCTTGTCGGCGCAGAAGCAGAAGCAGTCACCCCACGTCGCAGTGCGCGGGTGGCTGTACGAGGACAGACCGGTGGCAGTGAGGACCCACCCATGAGCCACCCATCCATGGCGCGAAAGCCTGCGAATCGAAAGGGTCAGAGGTCAACGACCAAACAATCAATCGCTTCGTCAGCAGAGCCTAGGTCAACGACCAAACAATCAATTGGTTTGACAACAACCAGTGAACCGACAACGACTGTGAGAAGGAGCGGGCGACCAACAACCCCCCCAGCGGAGACTGGGCGACCTGAAATGAGCAGGGAGTTTGCCCGTCGGGTCAGGGACAGATTCGTCCTGCATGGCCCAAGAGGCCGAATGGAGGGGAGGGCCCAGGATAGAACTCACCTGGATAACGAAATGGCCAACGAGCCAGAAGGGTCAGAGCCAGAACCCGCAGCAGTGATACCAGTGACATACCCAAATGAAACCGAGCTGCTAAAACAATTAAAGGGACAGTATGAAAAGGACACCCTTCTGAGCAAAGTACTGGAGGCACCCAAGCAATTCCGCAACTTTGAAGTAAAGGACGGACTAATTAGGCTCAAGCTTAAGGACAGAACGGTACTATGCTTACCGGACGTAAAAATCAACGGACAACGACTAATTGAAACTGTCGTCGACCAAGCCCACTCGATCCTGGCACACCTAGGCGCGGACAAAACACTATCCTACCTTTGTGAGCATGTGTGGTGGAAGACAATGGCACAGGACGTTCACACCCTCTGCGCGTCCTGCACCACCTGTCAACGAAGCAAACCATCAAACCAGCGGCCATATGGTATGCTGAACTCCCTACCTGCGCCCTCACACCCATGGGAGGTGATAGGAATAGATTTCCTAGGGCCGTTGCCCCCGTCTCGAGACCGAAACGGCGAGTATGATTCAATAACGGTCATAATCGATTTGTTGACCAGCATGGTGCACTTGGTGCCCAGTCGGACAACGTATACTGCAAAAGAAGTGGCAGAGTTAGTCTTTGCCGAAGTGTACAAACACCACGGCATACCTAAGTCGATAGTGAGCGATCGGGACGTACTATTCACGAGCACGTTTTGGTCAAGGCTAAACGAACTATTGGGCGTAACCTTGAGAATGTCGAGCGCTTACCATCCCCAAACGGACGGAGCCACAGAGCGCGCAAACCGAACGATAGTGCAAATGTTAAGGTCCATCATTGGGCCTGACCAGCACGACTGGGTAGCCAGGTTGGCTGCGATAGAGTTTGCTATCAACATGGCAAGATCCGAGTCAACCTCCTTGTCACCGTTTGTGGCCAACACAGGGAGGCTACCACGCGCCATGATATGGGAGGACCCAGCGCCAACAGAGTACCCTGGAGTACGGGTCTACCTCCAACGAATGAAAAATGCGACCCTAACGGCGCACGATGCCCTTATTGGGGCACGAGTCAAGCAAACCCGAGAGGCCAACAAACGAAGGCGGCCATGCCCTTTCGTGAAAAACGACCTGGTGTATGTATCAACCAAAAACATCTCACTGCCTAAGAGGACGCCGAGGAAACTCGTACCTAAGTTTATCGGGCCATATAAGGTCATTGAAGACTACGGAAACAACTCCTTCAAATTGAACCTTCCGGATCGGCTTAAGCAAAGAGGGGTGCACCCGGTGTTCCATTCCTCCTACCTGAGAGAACACATCCCAAACGACGACAGACTGTTCCCAGGTCGCACAGAAACCCAGATAGCCGATTTTGGGGAGCCCGAAGCCGAATGGGCGATCGACCGGATTTTGTCGCACAAGGGGCGATGAGCAGACACTGTTTTTGAAATTCAGTGGAAGACAGGAGACAAAACTTGGTTAGCGTACGATCGAGTTGAAAAACTGGATGCCCTGGCTGAATATTTCCAGCTGCTGGGGATCGAGAATGTCTCCGAACTAGGAGATGGGAGCGGGGAGCCATCAACGAACGACCCCCAAGTGTTCCTGGGACACTTATTTTCCGATCAGGTCATCAAAGGTATAACACCTGACGAGGACTCACCAATTCCCCCCTCCAATCCTGTTCCAAACCTCCATCCACTAAACACGCCCTTCCAAAACACGTCCTCCAAACTCTATATTCTCATGGCACCCCTGCTCAAACACGCTGGTCCTCGTCGATACACCATCCCCAGCCCCCTAGGTGCAGGTCTCGGGGAAGACGACCTGATAGTTCTCGTTGAGACGGTTCGGTTGTACCTAGAGTATGACGGACACCTCCGAGCGGGCACAGCCAGTCAGAACCCTACTCCCTTTGGCTATAACGACTTCGCGCTGGCATTTAACATGCAGCTGGCAGCGGAAGCAGACCCATCACGTTTCACCATCGAAGGTACGGAAGGGCCCACCATCAGCGGCCCATCCCCCTCCATCGTAGAGCTTGTCGGGTCTGATGACCCCGCTCCTACTCCACCCAGGACAACACCACGTCCACCTGAGGGAGGACGTTACCTCACCCCCCAGTGCGCAGAGCTCATGGAGGAGGCGCTCTGGATGAACCTCAAAAGCGCCAAGAAAAAATGCGAGTGGCGAGAGCGTTCCATAGCCGAGAGGAAGGTCAAGAGATCTAAATCAGAGGTTAGCGGACGAGCCATGGGAGAAAGGACTTACCCTCCCGACAACCAAGCTGGCACCTCGCGCCCAGCCTCCACTACCCCTAATCTCAGACCTTCCACCCCCCTCGCATCCAACAATGAGCAAGGGCATGCGATGGAGGTTGAGGAAGACACCCGCCGCACCGGCAAGGGAAAGAAAACTAGCGAGGAAAGGCCGAGGAAGACTCAGAAGTAAAGGGTGTGAGAACACCCTTGAAGGGGAGTATGTGGCGGTTACCTTGATCGAACCGGCCACAGTCTAGAACTGGACCCTGTTGGCCGCATGTCGGGCCAAGCCTCAGAACGTATTTGATTACTTCGACTCATGTTTCATTATTTTCTTTAATCACGGGCACTCTACTCACCAGTATATAAACCCTACTCTGGCTGTAAAGTTCCCTTAGTTCTTTTCCAATCTACCCGGTATCGGCGCTAGAACAAGTCTCAGCGAGAGTTAGAGAAACAACGCTGATATATTTACCTAGAACAAGTCTAGGATACGTGTTAGTTACAATAGGCGCAGACTATCAATGATGCATACCTCAGCGAGAGTTAGAGAAACAACGCTGAGGTCTGAAGCGGGGAACCGACGCGTATAAGTACTGTTCAAGAGGTCAAGAGAAGCTAACGGAAAGAACAACACCGGTAGCATTACATGTGGTGTCGTAGTGCAAGATAAGCGCAAGATATGATAAACGGTAGCAAGTGAGATAAGCGGAAGCAAGAATGGTAAAGAAGAGTCAAAACGTTAATCGTACCCTTGTGGGTACTATGCTTCCTCCGGATCGGTGCTTCCTTCGGTGCTTCTTCCAACACACCCCCTCACTTAGACACCAGTCCGAGACCAGTCGAGTGTTTCAAGAAAAGCGGACGAGCGAGTGCTTTGGTCAAGATGTCGGCAGTGTTGTTGTGGGATGGGATCCATTTAGGTACGAAAGTGCCGTTCGCGATATGCTCTCGAATGAAGTGGTAACGCACGTCAATGTGCTTAGAACGTGCATGGTGCTTGGCCTCTTTGGAAAGTGAGATCGCGCCTGTGTTATCCATGTAGATAGTGATAGGAAGGGTGACCGGGAGATGGAGCTCATTGAAAAGCGACTGGAGCCAGAGACCTTCTTGGATGACGTGAGTCATCGCCATATATTCAGCCTCCGTGGATGATAACGCCCAAGTGTTTTGCTTTTTGGAGACGAAGGTGATTAATCCTCCCACGAAGAACCATGCGTATCCCGAAATCGACAGACGGTCTGAAGGTTCATTTGCCCAGTCCGCGTCACAGTAGGCGCGCAATGTGTCATGGACGCGATCCCCACCGTATTGGAGTCGCAGAGACATGGTACCGCAGAGGTATCTAAGGAGTCGTTTCGCTGCAGCGTAATGAGCTAGGGAGGGGTTGGAATTCTTCTGTGCGAGAGAGTTGACGGCGAAAGAGATATCGGGACGTGTGCAGATGGCGAGGTATAGTAGTTCTCCTACGAGTTTGCGATACTGGGACTGGAGGTTAGGAACCACTGCGTGAGTGTCAGATGCGCGGCCGAAAGGAAAGTTTGGATCGAGAGGGAGCTGAACCGGGTTGCAATTCAACAGCCCGTGCTCCTCAAGAAGGTATGCGATGTATTCACTCTGATGAATCCAGAGTTGCCGAGTGCGACGATCCCGTTCAAACTGCATTCCGAGAAACCGGGAGACGGGTCCCAAGTCTTTAATGCCGAAACGTTGCGCAATTTTTCCTTTTACCCAGAGTAGGAATGGGCGTGAATTGGAGGTGCCCATGCCATCGTCAACGTGCCAACCGATAAGGCAAATAATGCGTGTAGAGGTGTTGTCGGTGTGAGTTTGGTCGTAGATGAATAGCGCGTGGTCAACTGCACAGCGAGTGAAGCCGAGTTCCCTCATCACAGCGCATACCTGTTCGTACCACTCCATAGCCGACTGCTTGAGTCCGTAAATCGTTCTCAACATCCTCCACACCAGCTCGTTCAACTCGCCCTCCTCGAATCCCCTCGGCTGCTTCATGTAAATTTCCTCCTTCAATATGCCCCATAGGAAAGCGCGTCTCGCATCGAAGGTGTCAAGTTCCCAATCGTTATGACACGCCAGCACGGCGATGAGTCTGATTGATGCCATCTTGGCTACTGGAGCGAATGTCGCGCCGTAATCCACCCCTGGGATCTGCGAGAAGCCTTGTGCCACTAACCTGGCCTTGTAGACAGGCCCTCCCTTATCATCATCTTTGAACTCGAGTACCCACTTGTTTCCGATGGCCTTACGGCCCTGTGGTAATGGCGCGAGCTCGTAAACTTTCATTTCCTTCATGGTACTTAACTCCGTGCGCATGGCCTTTAACCAGTGGTCACGATTGGTGCGAAGGATAGCCTCGTTGTACGTGGCAGGAGGGAGTTGCATGTCGTAAGTGGGATCGGAAGGGTTTCGTTTTCTGTCACTGCGAATGGTGATGTGGGCGTGTTCTTCGACGATAAGGCTTGCGAGGGTCTCAGGAAGGTCAGCGTTTCGCTCGATGTGCTCGAGGTCATCAGTTGGAGCTTGCTGCTCAGTCGTCTCCACCCCCTCACTGAGTGCGGGAAGAACCTTACTCGTGCGCTCAGTGCGTGCTTCGCGAAGTGATTGAAGGCGACTCCTAGTCGCAGCTAGCTCCTCAGCATAAGTGTCACCTGCTGATGTCCGTACACGTGTGCGAGCGGAATGACGTACGACGGATGAAGTCGGGGAAGGGGCAGGTGGAGGGTGAGAAGGCGAGGATGCTAAAGTGGGTGCGGGAGATGTAGGTACTGTAGTTTCCTGTTCAGAGTCTGAATCGTTAGGGATCGACGGGAGGTTTTCGTCGAAGATTACGTTGCGTGCATTAAAGAAAGCACCTGTATCTCTGTCACGTAGATGATAACCCTTAACACCGTCAGGGTACCCTAGGAAGATGGCAGGGCGTGAATGTGCGCCAAGCTTGGGCTGGAGTTCAGATGGTATGCGGGCAAAGCAGCGGGAGCCGAAGATGCGGAGATGCGACAAGTCTGGTTTCTTGCCATTGACAAGTTGGTAAGGTGTGACGCCGGCAGGGATTGCTCGTGATTCACTTCGGTTCCATAGATAGCATGCTGTCAATGCGGCTTCCCCCCAAAGAGCTGCTGGGAGACGTGCTGTCTCGAGCATGGCGAACATTCGGCCTTCAATAGTACGTATAGCTCTCTCAGCTTTCCCGTTTTGTTGGTGAGCATAGGGCGCGGAGAGCTGACGCTCAATCCCCGCATTCTGAAGTGCCTCGGTGAACGCAAGACTAAGAAACTCGCCTCCATTATCTGAACGAAAGACCTTAACCTTTCTCCCCGAATGATTCTCCCATCGCTTCCGTACGATCTCCCAAGCAGCAAGAGCTTGATCCTTCGTTGCAAGTAGTTGAAGGGAAAGCAAATTGGTGTGGTCGTCGAGGAACACGACGAAGTGAAGTTTGCCATGAGGAGTGATAGTAGGGAATGGGCCGCAGAGGTCTGAGTGCACTAAGTCCAGCATATGGGAGGAACGAGGCTCTTGAGACGGTGAGAAGGGCTTGTGGGGGTGTTTGGCCATGATGCACGGCTCACACTTTTGTAATGGTGCCACAGAGTCAACCTTCACTCCATCTGCAACTAAGGGTAGGCGTTTCACGGCATCACCGCCGATGTGTCCCGCCCTCGCATGCCAAAGGTCCCACGACAGTGGGACATGTGCAAACATTGACAACTCACGTGATGATCGCGTAGGGACAGCTTCGTTAGGGTGGATGAATTTGAGATTGAGGAATACCAAGTTCCCGGTTAAGGGGATGGCCCCAAGAGGCTCTCCGCGATACGTGAGTTGACAGCGAGATGGAAAAGGCTTGAAATGACATTCCCAACCCTTCTGAAGCATATGCCCGACTGACAAGAGATTGACGAGCGCACCCGGTGCATGAAGACAATTGCTCAGGCGGATGCGATAGACCTTTCCATTGATGGTTAAATCGGCGACGCACTCTCCTCTACCTGATGTAGGTAATCTCCCGTGATTGGCAGTCATTACGGTGATGCTCGAGTCCTCACAGAATGTCCAGAAGAGACTGCGATCTGTAACGAGAGTGGAAGTCGTACCGGAGTCGAGAATGCTAGATAGACTTTGTTGCGTGATGCACGCGAGATTCTCGGGAGTGGGAGACGATTCAGGAGAAAGTTCTTCGATCATTGCGAAGGATAAATCTCGACGGTGTGAGGTGCCGGACGAAGTGACAGGCTCATCAGGAGGTTTGGTGGTATTTTTCTCATTGGCGTTAGCAGTTACTTCCTTCTTAGGCTGTGGTTTCTTAGTACCACGAGACCAGGGAGCTCTCCCTTCCATACCACCCCCTGGTTGGAGGCAATGGTCGATATCATGTGTGAGGGCACGCGGGAGTCCGGCGCATACTGAGTTCTCGCAGGGCACCCCTTTGGGGTTGTTCCTGTGGATCCTTACGCCAGTCTTCGGATTCACCTTGGTTTCATATGGGGGAGTCGCGGCGTTCGCATACTCAGACCCCGGTCCAGCGGCCTTGCGTTCCCCACGGATGCGATTGGCTTCCTCTGAGAGTGAGGTAACAACCTCTTGGAAAGACATGACTGAGGAAGTCGACGAGGTCGTTGTGGATGTGGTGGATGTGGTAGAGCTCTTGTTGTACTGCCCGACGGTCATTCGTTTGAAGACGAGCCATTCGGGAGTTTGAGGGAGTCCTTGAAGAAGGAGGAAGATAGCTTCATCATCTGTGAAGATGACGTTTATTTCAGCAAAGCATCGACGTGCATTTTCGAAAACGCTGATATAATGCGACACATCGTCGACGTCCTTGAGTTTGATGCTGGATAGTTGCGCGCGAAGTTCGAACCGGGAAGTGATGTCGAGTCGACTAAAGTGTTGGGCAAGGGTGTCCCATTGTTCACGCGCAGTGAGATGCTCGCCAACGAGCCCTTGAACGACAGACGACAGTTTACGACATACGATTCCCTTAGCTTGTGCGTCTTCTTTGAGCCAGTCCCTAATGTCTTGTTTCTCAGTGGCTGTAGGCGCACCTGCTGTCGCAGGGGTTGGAATGTGAGAAGCGAGCTCTGCAAGGTTATTGACGTCGGTCCCTGAACTGCAGTGCGTCCAGAGTCCTTCACCTTGCAGTGCTAGCATGACAGCGCGACACCAACTGGGATATTTGTCCGATCCGGTGAGCTCGATGATGTGATCGAATTTCCCCATGGTGAGGACGTGAAGAAGGATGAGGGATGTGGGTGTTCGTGTACCAGGACGGTTCGGTGGCCTGGTGAGCGTGTGTAGTACGAGAGCCTGTGAGAGGCCGAGTCTGTTGCCTGCAGTGTGGTGTATGGTACGATACTCAGGCAGGGCTCATAACCTATCGGCGCTAGAACAAGTCTCAGCGAGAGTTAGAGAAACAACGCTGATATATTTACCTAGAACAAGTCTAGGATACGTGTTAGTTACAATAGGCGCAGACTATCAATGATGCATACCTCAGCGAGAGTTAGAGAAACAACGCTGAGGTCTGAAGCGGGGAACCGACGCGTATAAGTACTGTTCAAGAGGTCAAGAGAAGCTAACGGAAAGAACAATGCCGGTAGCATTACATGTGGTGTCGTAGTGCAAGATAAGCGCAAGATATGATAAACGGTAGCAAGTAAGATAAGCGGAAGCAAGAATGGTAAAGAAGAGTCAAAACGTTAATCGTACCCTTGTGGGTACTATGCTTCCTCCGGATCGGTGCTTCCTTCGGTGCTTCTTCCAACACCCGGACTGATATCTGGTTAACGTTGCGCGAAAGACTCTATTGTTTTTGCTATTGTGCCGTTACATCAAGTCTGTGACTTCGACTAGCGTCACATATATGAGTGTGCTTCAATTTTGGTGAGTAATTCGCCAGTTTCTCCGTGCCAGACGATGACCTCTCCCCCGTGATCACCGCTTGCTATCAATTGCCCATCTCGTGATACCGCCAAACTCCACACCCGATTGCAATGCCCTTCCATCTTCTTCAATGCAACGCCTGTATTCAAGTCCCACAGACGAAGCGTTGTGTCGTACGAGCCCGTAACCATCCGACGTTTACCAGGGAAAACTGCGACTGCAGTTATGCATTCTTTATGGCCTTTGAACCATCGCAGGGGAGTGGTGATCGTAATGAGCTCCGACATGTTACTGGATGCTGATGGTATGGAATACGAATGAGGCTAAGCTTTGGAGGGAGTATGTCTTTCTCTAAGCTGCAAAGGGTGTGTGGTGCGTTTTATGGTGCTTCCTAGCTCAATAGACGCCCAGAACATCTAAGGCCGCCTGTTTGTGCCCACACCTCCATCACAGTAATGCACCCACCCTTTTATCATACCCGCTGTCCTCGACGGTATGTACATCTGCAGTGCATACATGCGTCCGACTCTTGTCTTCGCAGCTTCCAGAATCTATCCCATCGCATCAAGTCGAGCAGTCCGTGCTTTCCAGCGCTCGAATCTGACTGTCTATCCTGCATGAATACCGTTGTTTTTCGTATCTAGCAGCTACTCGGGCTTATCACCACGTTACTCCTTCGAACGCATGTATATAGCTTACTGCAATATCACTTCTCCATCCAACAGACTCACAAGATGCAACCAAATTTCGTGGTACAGCCTTGGAATCTCCTCGCCATCGCCACACTGCTAATGGCTGCATCTCACTGCGATGCCCCTCCATATTTTTCAATACAATACCTGTCTTCAAGTCCCAGAACCGAAGCGTCTTGTCATCATACATTCTCTATCGGGAAAACCTGCGACTGCGGTTGCGCCGCTCTCATGATCTTCAACAACTCAACAGGGTGCGGTGCTTGAAACGGGCTTCGACATCTTGCTGGATGCTGATGATGTGGAGCACGGTCGAGGTAGACTTTGGAGGGATTGTGGGTGTCTTTCCTTAGGCTGCAGAGGTGCGTATATCATGCGTGTCTATATTGCTTCACCCCATTGACTTGCCTGGTGTTTCCTTAGACACCCTAGTAAGACATGGACCCCATTCATCTCCTGAGGTGAATATGACCCCACCATACAGGAACCACGGTGGAAGTCATTGACTTGGAAGCAGGTTGGTGATGTTATCCATGCCACCATATGTTTATGCTGCTGGCATCTGATCGCTTCCGCATCTCACGATGTCTCGTGAGGCAGCTGTCAGGTTGGCGAACAACAGCCCTACCAATCAATAGACATCACGCACCCGGTCACAGGCGAGCACAACAACACGCTTATCCTCGCGCACGTCAAGTACATCCACGGCCGCAAAGACGTGCTCACAGAGAAAGGTGTCATCGGTCTCACGAAGTTCAAGCCTGTCGCGCGTTTTGGCGACATCTCGTATGCCCGGGTTGGAGATGCGTACAGGATCGCTCGTCCATCATGGGCGCAGGATGATGCGAAGATACAGGAGGCATTGACGACTCACGCATCACTGTGAAATAGAACGAAGGAACAATTTTTTGGTAACATATACCATAGATTATATGTAAGACGGGTACTGAGATGGTGTCGTATTGGTTACAACATGCTACCTCTGCATCACAAGCAGCGAAGCCTTATACAAGCTGTTCATGATTCGTGCAATCCTTTCAGATGCAGTTGTTACGTGCCGAGATCGAATCTGAAGAGCAATTTAACCTGCATATGTCGTGAATGTAGCTGCACGCACGCCCACGATGATTGTCCATAGTTCTGAAGGACACCAGTTGAAAATTAGTCATGATCATTATGATGTAAAAAGTAGGGCTTGCTAGTCAATTATAAAGGTCAGATCTATCTTAAGGATAAGAAATAACGACGGAGTCGATCCCGCCTGGATGCTGATATCTATATGATCTATGGTATATGTTCCTCAGAAATGGTAAGCCACTCTCCGTTCGATTTCATGTTGATGCGAGAGTCTTCAATGCTTCCTGTATCTTCGCCTCCTCCTGCGCCCATAATGGAATAGGGATCCTGTATGTATCTCCGACCCGGGCATATGAGATATCGCCCACACGCCCGACAGGTTTGAACTTTATGAGATCGACGGCACCTCTGCCTGTGAGCATGTCTCTGCGCACGTGGAAGTACTTGACGTGCGCGAGGATGAGCGTGCTGTTGTGCTCGCCTGTGACCGGGTGGGTGATGTCTATCGATTGGTAGAGCTGTTGAGAGGCGATGTTGTCAACGAGCGAGCGGGCTAGGCGTGAAATGGAATTACTTCGCATTCCATGCTAAAGGCGCTTTCTTTGATGCGCGAGGCTCTTATTTTCACCTGAACACGTCGTTGTTAGCGCATATATCGTATCATGAAGGTGCACACATACGCATTTCTCCTTTGTCAGACCGCTGAGAGTCCACTCATCGACTTCTGGAGGAGCGTCTACGGCAGCTGCATTTGCGTTTTCGATAAACGCCTCGCTGATGATGTTCACAGCGAATCCTTGGCCATTCTTCAAGTTCCTGGTCGTGTCTTTCAGGCGGCCCGCAGAGTTGTGGTTGATTCCGAATGAGATGACAGGCGGATAGTCCGTGACCTATGGGAAGAGGTTATTGAACCATGAGAGGGACGTGTTGTTTGTGGTATTACTCACTGTGTTGAACCAACTGGTGGATGCAAGCCAGGTAAGCGTGCAGAACACACACATACTTCAGTCAATTTCCCATGTAGAACCAGTGCCCCGGATGTGCCAAAACCCTGTAGAATCATGGCCAGCCAGTCCCCGGCCGGTCTATGTAGAATACATGCTGGCCGGCCTTGTATAGTAGTAGTCCACATGTATAATACACTACCATACTATTGTAAAAGCATGACCAGCCAGTAGATGTAAGACAACTGCCGGCCGTAGGTATACCAATATCAAGGCTTGCTGGTGTATTAGGATGCTGACTGTTTCACATCTATATTTGTAACTGGCCAGCCTTTCTTCTACATAGGCAGACGTGGGGTGGCCCAATATGTGGGATTAAGATTATACTGGCCAACCATATCTCTACCTCAGTAGAAACCAGGCTGGCCAGTATGTAGGTCTTAATCTAGCAAACCGGCCGCCCTGCATCTACCTATGTATGGGTAAGGCTAGCCAGTTTGTATGTTTTGAACTAGCATACCAGCCATCATGCATCCACCTAGGTAGCCATCAGGCTGGCCAGTTTGTAAGTTTAAAACAACATTTCAGCCACCCTGCATATACCTACGTACAGGCAAGGCTGGCCAGTTTGTAAGCTTGAACTAGCATACCAGCTGCCCTACATATACTTGGGTAGCCATGAAGCTGGCCAGTTTGTAGGTATGAAACCAGCATACTGGCCATCCTGCATTTACTTTGTAGATATTCAACTAGCATACCGGCCGTCCTGCATTTACTTATGTAGGGGCCAGGCTGGCCTGTTTGCAGGTATTAAACTAGCATACTGGCCGTCCTGCATTTACCTATGTAGGAGCCAGGCTGGCCTGTTTGCAGGTATTAAACTAGCATACCGGCTGTCCTGCATTTACCTATGTAGGAGCCAGGCTGGCCTGTTTGCAGGTATTAAACTAGCATACCGGCCGTCCTGCATTTACCCATGTAGGAGTCAGGCTGGCCAATATATATGTACATAGAGCGAGGAAAGCCAGTTTATACTCAAGTCATAACTTATCACCAGGCAGTGCGAGAGTCTAGACAAGCATATGTAATTACTGTACAAGATTGACTAGCAATGAAGACAATGGAGGATACAAGATCATATCTTCTGGGATCTCTTAGAGGGTTGCCTCGCCCTACCTGATCTACGAACCACAGGCTCAGTCCTAGGCTTCTTGGACTTACTTGATGAAGCATGGTTAATTTTTCTCTTCCTCCCTTTCTGCACCACCTCTTCAACCTCCTGCTCCTGCTGTTCTTCTCCCCCAACTACATTCTCCTCTGACTCAACATCCTTCTCCTCAACCTCATGCCTTTCCTTCTCTACCACCATCCTCATCTCCTCATCCTCAACCTCGTCACTGAGTCCCTCTTTGTTCAGCCTCTCAATCTGACCAACAACTGAGAATAAGACTTCTCGGACAGCCTCATCCAGAGCGACCAAGAACTGTAGATCAATAGCAGAATGAGGTAGGTAGAAAGGGGTATTGGGATCAGCCTCGTCTTCCTCATACTCTATCACACGCTTAGACTCCCTATAGAGGAGCCCAATTCCTAGTATTACTGGCATTGCCGATGATGGCCCTGAGATTGGACAGGTCTGTAGCTTGTTTAAGCTGGCCATCAATGTCGCATATGAGGTGTGAATGTCCTCGGAAAGATAATTTTCGCTCCAAGACCAGTCAGCCCAGGTAGGCAAATCTTGGTGTCGCTCTGAAATTGGCTGTTGGACATATAAGCCATAAAATTGAAAATAGCACCAAGTGACACTAACATTCTGTTTGGCTAATATTGCCAGGTCCCTAGTGGCGTCCACAAGCTCCAAGTAGTTTTCATTCTTGCTAAGGGTTTCTAAAAATGTGTATCGGTCATTGATGGCAACATCATCTGGTGTTGTCTCATGAGCGGCCGGCTGTGTTGTACGTTCTGTGAAATGAGAGGCAAATGGAGCCAGCCGGCCTTGATCTTCTTCATCTAAGTCTAGGGTGCTCACTACTTTCGTCTTGGACTTCCCAGTGACCCGAATATCAGCATCCTTGGCCTTAATAAAGACAACTAGCTTCTGATTTGTAGCAGAACGTCGTTCCCAATGCATCCATAGACGATTTACCTCCTCTGTCTTCATATGAGAAGGGTCTTTGACCACAAATCCTGTGGGAACTGAACCAGGTTCCAAATAATTGGACGGGCTGGCAGTTATCACGCCCCAAGGTACAGGTCTAGAGCCACCTGTGCAGACTTCTACAAACCATTGAGTCAATCAAATGTCATGCACATATTGAAGATGTTAGATCTTACTGTATGAAGTATGAAAGATACTTCTAATCAATTCGTGTTGGCCCTTGAGGCCAATACCATCACGAAGAGGAAGTTTTGCATACCCCTCATCATCTACTATGATTTCAGGTAAGACAGGTCCATCCTCACAGTCTGAAGCCGCATGGTCTGAATCCTCTGAAGGGTCTATCAATTTAATAGTCAGTGAGCATGATATTTAAAATCAAATGAAACACGTACAAAATTCAGTCTTAGACCATTCTCCAAAGGATTCAAATCCATTTGCAGCCCACTGCTTGATACCACTCGAGCTCACAGAAAATTTTTTCTTGGCATTCTGAGGCGTAGTTTCGTGTCTATAGTAGTTTAGTTAGTCTTGAGATTTCCATGTTGATTTGATGACTTACAGACTGACGGACAATGTCTGACTAGCTTTTTTCTTATGACTAACAAGCATTACTATGCGACAACCCATGGTGCGCCGAATTTGCTCTGCAAAATCTTCCAGAGTTTTCTTGAGGTTATTCTTACGATATCTCAAGCCAAAGTGTTAGACTGGAATAACTGTAGATTTGAAGTAAAACTTACATTGCCTGAGTTTCTTCTGGCGCCCCCTCCTCATTCCATTTCTTCATGGCAAACTTGACCTCCTGCTGTTGTGAAGGTGTCATGTTGTTGAACCACTCCCTGGCATTCCCAGTGCGGTACTTGATTGAATACTCCAAGCCTTTACTCTGTTGTTGGGCCTTGTCATATGAGTCGATCTCCTGCTTAAATAATTTCTGTGCTACATCCCACTCAGACAGGGGTTTCTTATAGAAAGATGGTTCTCTTGGGCGACTCGCTGCCTCACGTTCGTCTGCCTCTTCCTTGTCTTTGAGACTTTTGGCATAGTATTCTTTTATTGCCTGTAGGTAACATTTATGTATATCATCAGACAACTAAATACATGTACAGTATAAGAATTTTGTGACCTTTTTCAAGGAAGTAGGCAAGGCAATGGGTTCCTCTTGCTCGTCTTGAGCAGCTAGTATGGCCCTCCGAATCTTCCTCACCACAGGCTTTCCAACAGATGAGGAACCTGCAGCAAAAATGGCCTTAGAGTGAAGGTCGAGAATTGGCTTAAAGGCAATAGACCAGTCGGTAGACATCGTAATTGATTCAAGATAAAAATTGCAGGTAGGCTGGTACAGGCGGTAGGAGGGTGGCTAGCCGAAATTAATTTGAACACCCATGTTTATCAACAATAATGTGTGACTTTTCATAAGTCACACGTTATTGTTGATAAACATGGGTGTTCAAATTAATTTCGGCTAGCCACCCTCCTACCGCCTGTACCAGCCTACCTGCAATTTTTATCTTGAATCAATTATCAAATTGGATATATTGAGACGGTCAAATTCACATCAAGTAACAAGATTAAAGGCACATTATACTTCCATTGAGTGGAGTTAGACAGTGTAGATAATAGACAAATTCACATCAGGTAAAAAGATCCAAAACACGTTATACTTCCATTGAGCGGTGAGGGTATCTAATCAAGTAAGATGAAGAAAAATGAAACATGAAGGGATGTACGAAAAAGCTAAGACAAAATAATTGTATCCTAATCCTCATCCTCATCAGGGACACTAGGCATGGGCCTCAAGACAACCGAAATCCAGCAGGAGCCAGGTCTTTTGCCTGGCAAAAGGATCCTGGAATGAGGTGGTTGTGAGAATACATACTTTTTCCTACATTGGCCATTCTTGCATTCAAAGATGTAATCTTTGTGCATGTTGACAGAACACCAGGCGTTACTCCACCCACACTGTGGGCACTGGACCGGCAGGTACTGACCCCAGGGGCGAAGTTGGGAATGCGTCCAGGCGAACTTGGTAACGGCCAACGAACCTGAGTTGTCAGGCATCAGCAAGAACACGTCAGTGTGGCGCCCAAGTTTGTAGGACTGGCCCAACATGTCAGGGAAGACGATGTGAATGGGCAAACACTCGATGATGACCAGCTCCACGAATGCGAGCAAAAGGTGGGTGGCGAAACTCGGCTGAAAACGAACAGCATTAAAGCCAATAGTGGCTGTGATGCGATGACTGTTAGGGTTAGTTAGTATTTGCAAAGATAAGATCAAATGGACTTACTCTATGACCGCCTGTTGCAAGCCTGAAAAGGAAGTGACGTTGTTGATGAGCGCACCACACGAAAACAGCCATAAGTATGATTCCGCGGCACCATGAATCAGGGGATGCCAAGGTGAAAGCAGAACATCGAGAACCTTTGGTGTCAAATGAGCAAATACAATGTTAGTCAAAAAAATGCCACTTACAGAGTGAACGCGTGCCGAAACGTATGACTTCTTGTTGCCCTCGTACCCAATAAATGGATCTCCATGCTCGTTGTCGGTGTGGTTAGTGATGGCGACGACGACACGAGCCCAGTTGGAGCTCATCAGCGACTGGATGATGGCAGTCGCCTGCAACCGGTACTCGTCGATCTTTGAGGCATTGCCGATGTCGAACACGATGGACCGAAATTCAAACCCTCCGCTGGGGAAGTATGGCCGAAGGAATTCGGAGGCCAGTTCGAAACAGCCGCCGGTGACGTCGTGGTCGACGAGGACGAGATGGAGCATGAGCGTGGGTGCCGAAGACAGTTGGGAATGGAGTGAAACCTCCAACGTAGCACAAATTTGGAGGAATGAAGGAAGGAGCGGTTGCCCCTTCCTGTAAAAACCCTATAAAATGAAGTGAATGTTAGTTAGCATGAAATAAACGAAAAAACTTACAAAATAGGGCGACTGAGATGCGCGCTCGTGTCGTTCCATGCCAACGTGGCAAGATATGCAGACGAACGTGACGTCATCGGCCTGCACCGTGTGTGCACTGGCAGGCGGGATGTTCATGCAGTTTGAACACATCACCCGCAGACAGGTGCTGCAGAGGAAGAGGCAATCTTCCCCTACAGAACCGTCTCTGCAGATGAGACAAAACTGCAAATAAAGACACGTGTTAGTGCAAATAGTAGGTAACTAATCACTTACCTCGTTGTGTTCAGACGGCTCTCTCACATTCAGCTCACCCGGCGCAGTGACCGCTCCAGTAGATGCCGGCAACGACAAGGCAATTCGTGGCGCGGTGCCACCGGTGGACTTCTTGCAGGTTTGTTTAGACTTCACCATGGTGAAGAGAGACTATTATAGATATATTCATTGTTGATAATCACGTGACTATTTACAAACAATAACAAACTGACACGTGAATATGAACAACAACAATCAGTTCTCACGGTTCAATCTCTTCTTTCGTCTTACCTTCATCATTCTCCTTCATCCTTTATTTCTGCCAGTGCCGTTACTTCAGGGCGACTTCCGGTGTACTCCTTTGGGTTCTTGCAGACTGCAGCTGCAAGAATTCAAAGGTACTACCCTACAGTCGCCCTTCAAACATAGTAAGTTCAACTTTGGTGGTGCGCCTACTTACTAACTGTTTTCATTTACATATACTCTCTTTCCCTTGAGGTTTCTCAAGGTAAGTACTTAATTGCTCACACCCGCTTGCTAATGTCTGTTGTACTTAGGATTTTGGAGACTTTGGATGGCGCAGTGACAGCCACTCCTCCCTTTGAGCGCCCTCCTGGCAGTTCCCTAACGTAAGTCCTTCTTTTCCCGCGTCTGCTTGCTAACGTTTGTTCTATTTAGGATTATACTTACGAATTTCGGGACTTTGGATGGCAGTTAGAGCCACTCCTCCCTTTGAGCGCCCTCCAGTTCCCAACGTAAGTCCTTCTTTTCCCGTGTCCGCTTGCTAACGTTTGTTCTATTTAGTATTATACTTACGAATTTCGGGACTTTGGATGGCAGTTAGAGCCACTCCTCCCTTTGAGCGCCCTCCAGTTCCCAACGTAAGTCCTTCTTTTCCCGCGTCCGCTTGCTAACGTTTGTTCTATTTAGTATTATACTTACAAATTTCGGGACTTTAAATGGCAGTTAGAGCCACTCCTCCCTTTGAGCGCCCTCCAGTTCCCAACGTAAGTCCTTCTTTTCCCGCGTCCGCTTGCTAACGTTTGTTCTATTTAGTATTATACTTACGAATTTCGGGACTTTGGATGGCAGTTAGAGCCACTCCTCCCTTTGAGCGCCCTCCAGTTCCCAACGTAAGTCCTTCCTCTCTCATGTCCGTTTGCTAACGTTTGTTCTATTTAGTATTATACTTACGAATTTCGGGACTTTGGATGGTGCAGTTAGAGCCACTCCTCCCTTTGAGCGCCTTCCAGTTCCTTAAACGTAAGTCCTTCTTCTCTCGCGTCCGTTTGCTAATGTCTGTTCTATTTAGTATTCTGCTTATTGGAACTGGGGGTTGCGCAGTGCATGCCACTTGTCAGTGGCTCCTGCTTATAGAAACTGGGGGTTGCGCAGTGCATGCCACTTGTCAGTGGCTCCTGCTTCTTGAAATTGGCGGTAGCGCAGTGCATGCCACTTGTTAGTGGCTCCTGCTTATTGGGACTGGGGCTCAGCGCAGTGCATACCACTTGTCAGTGGCTCCTGCTTCTTGGAATTGGCGGTAGTGCAGTGCATGCCACTTGTTAGTGGCTCCTGCTTATTGGGACTGGGGCTCAGCGCAGTGCATGCCACTTGTCAGTGGCTCCTGCTTCTTGGAATTGACGGTATCGCAGTGCATGCCACTTGTCAGTGGCTCCTGCTCCGACTTTTTAATAGCCTGCTCCAACTTTTTAATGGTGGTAAGCGCTCAATTCCTGATGACCTTAACTGATCTGTTTTGTTCTCTAGACTGCTGAACCTGCCGGTACTTTTGTGTGGCAAGTGCTCTCTAGTTAAGTGTTAATCTTGTCTTAAATTTCGGTCTAACGTTTCTACAGGACAAATTTGTATTGTATTATATATATATTTGCTACATACATTTTCACCTGGAGTGTTGAGGCTTTGGTGAGGAGGGCCCCCTCATTGAAGTCTCGCCTCCCCTTTTGTATTTGTTACTTTATTTGTTTGCTTACTTGTAGTAAAATTTATTGTCACTCGTACTTTGTATTTGAAAATGTATGTTGATGGATGCACTTTATTTGCTGCCGGCTGAAAAGGTCACGTGACCGTGTGTATATTAGCAAAGAGCCTTATTAAGAAAGCAAGCGCAAAAGCACAGTAGTGTATAATAATCAAACGCTGCACAGACCAAAGCAACTATTATCTACTACATGTCTTAGATAGATAATGTGTTATGTAGATCTCAATTCTGCCTTGATGCGGCTCACCATTGACATGCTGAAGGACACTATCATTGATTATTGTCTGCCAGTCAAAATATACTATTGGCATAGGCAGATGGTGGCAGAACACTAGGACAAGTAGCCATGACGCCATATGATACAAACTTCCCTTCCCGGTCAGAAGGTTGATTCTTCTTTGAAATTGCCTTCTGACCACAGAGGGGAGTCATCATATGGCGTCATTGTCACCATCTGCCTGGGCTGCTAGCATATTTTGGACTGACGGACATTCTCAATACCCTACAGGCCGCTTAGAGGCTAGCCCGCCCTCAAAACTGTTCGTGTTAAGAGTTCTGCCTCAGAGGTAATACTTAGTTAGCTACACCTATACTGTAGGGTATTGAGAATGTTTTCTTCGGTTAACAAAGAAAACATTTTCAATACCCTACAGTATAGGTGTAGCTAACTAAGTATTACCTCTGAGGCAAAACTCTTAACACGAACAGTTTTGAGGGCGGGCTAGCCAGTATATGCCTCAGAGGTAACCTCAGAGGTATCTCCAAACTGTTCGTGTTAAGAGTTCTGCCTCAGAGGTAATACTTCGTTAGCTACACCTATACTGTAGGGTATTGAAAATGTTTTCTTTGTTAACCGAAGAAAACATTCTCAATACCCTGCAGTATAGGTGTAGCCAACTTACCTCTGAGGCAGAACTCTTAACACGAACAGTTTTGAGGGCAGGCTAGCCTCTAAGTGGCCTGCAGGGTTTCTCAATACCCTGCAGTATAGGTGTAGCTAACTTACCTCTGAGGCATATACTGTAGGGTATTGAAGATGTTTTCTTTGTTAACCGAAGAAAACATTCTCAATACCCTACAGGCCACTTAGAGGCTAGCCCGCCCTCAAAACTGTTCGTGTTAAGAGTTCTGCCTCAGAGGTAAGTTGGCTACACCTATACTGCAGGGTATTGAGAATGTTTTCTTCGGTTAACAAAGAAAACATTTTCAATACCCTACAGTATAGGTGTAGCTAACGAAGTATTACCTCTGAGGCAGAACTCTTAACACGAACAGTTTTGAGGGTGTTACAATAACATTCACAAGTCCCCTTGACACCATGCCCTCTGCCACCTGCACGACTACAGACGATACCCAGGCCTCTCCTGCCCTTGGGATAGAACACAAGATAGAACATCGGACCAATATAGAAGAGAACTCCGGGAGATGCCGGATTAGATAAGCGGTCTGGACCGCTATGACGACATAGGTCTAGAAGACCTATTCTTGTTATCAAGATAGAAGGCAAGCCTCGTGTTGCCTCGTGTACTGATAGAAGGACACCTCGTGGTCCTATCTAAGATAGAAGCCTGCCTCACGCACGCTATCTCTGACTCGATAGATAAGCAGATTAGAACCCAGCTTCAAGCTGAGCTTAGATACGATAGAGTAGCCTTATATAAGGTAGACGATTAAAGTAGATGTTCCTTACTTTAATCTACTAGGTTTTATCCAGAACTTCCTCTGCAAGACAGCCCCAGTCTTTCAGTCTAAGCCGCACCTTAAGGAAAGCCGACGCTACCTTAAGTGGAACCCCCGAACCTCTCATTCGAGAGAAGATCCCCGTCTCTCCAATAGCGAGCCCGCTATCAGATTAGGCAATCCGCCTAGGGAGAGCTCGAACTATCCTAGTCCGTAACAAAAGATTAAAGTCTTACTTTCCCGGCCCTGCTCATCACGCACCGCCGTTGAAACTGATCCCGACCGCACCGCTGAGACAAGCGTAGACCTCTACTCTCGTGACCAAATCGCCGAGACCGGCGTAAAGCTATCCACAAATTGTCAAGACAGACGTACGAAGCTTTGAATCCTTAAGCCCATCACTGTCCCTTCGCACTACTCCCTCTACCATGAACGCACCGACACAGATCATGATGATCAGAAGAAATACCGACGCCGCCGCCAACCTCTCAGGAATGGAGACAAGACACCACCTGAAGCAACGACGATGCTTTTCTTGCCATCACGTTGGACACAAAGCCAACGACCACAAGTGCCCGATGAGGAGAAAGATTATCGAAGAAGAAACAGTCCGCAAGACAGCGGCTGGTAAGGAGAAAACTGGACCGCTAATGATTAACAAAAATAGCGTATCCAAGAAGAAAGAACTACGGGTTGCCGCCACCCTAATGTCCATCACTAAGCCGCCCATTACGACCACCATGGTCATAGACTCGGGCGCATGCGACTCATTTATCAGCAGAGAACTCTGCAAGAAATATCGCATTAGAACGCACCTCCTTCAGAAACCAAAAAGGGTAATGAACGGAGACGGAACGATAGGAGGCAACGTCAAAAGATTTTGCCGACTCATCATAAAAATCGACGACCGAGTAATGCACGGACGATTCCTCGTAATGCCGCGCCTAGACGACATCTTACTCGGATTCACATGGCTGGCCGCTGTGAAACCTTCCATAGACTGGAAGAAGGGTACGGTAACTATCCCTGCCACTGACAAGTCAAGAGGACTTGAGAGAATGATTGAGAGAGATAGGAAGAGGAACGGGTCAAAGCCGCTCTTCCGTAGAGAAAAGAGGACGCAAAACACGCGCCAAAGAAGGGACATAATCACCCTGACGAAGAAGAAAGAAGAACTCCGAGATGAGTATAAACTAGATCTGACAGAAACACCTGTCACGAAGAACCTCCGAAATGAGGCTAAACTACCAGAACCGGCTGATTCGCCGATGGAAGATCTCCGAAACGAGTCGAAACTAACCCCGATCGAGGAACTCCACAAAATCCTCGAATACGCACCGGCTACCAAGCCGTTGGAACCCCACGCCTCGACATCCCAGAACGTCGAGAAGAAGTCCACGAGACAGTCGGACTTAGTTGCCACCTCACCTCCCGCAGATAAATTTAGATTTTCTGCAGTACCTGCCCAGATCTTAGGAAAAGGCAGAGCCACTTTCGACGAGGAACCTCCTCGTGCAAAGATCCCAAAACCGGCCCCTGAACCGAAGAAAACTCAGCAGTACGTCTTTTCAGCAGAACCTGCTTCGGTTCTTGGAAAAGGAAGATCGGTAGTCACGGCAGAAGCACCGTCACCGAAGAGACTCCGCCAAGAGTATAAACTAGCAGAAAACGAACCGGCCGCTGATCAATGGATCAACCGGGCCGAGCCGATCGTATCTTTCCCAGAACGATCAAGAACCGCACCAGTCACTCGCCCATTCCTCGTGCCCACACAAGCCGATGAAGAAATGATGGAAGAAACTGACGATGAAGATAACGATGAGACAGTCGTTAATACTGCTCCCGCGGCCCCTGCCATAGCAGAAGAACCCGCGACGACTCCGATGGAAGTAGATCGGATTAAACAGCAGAACTACTTTCAGCGAACGATAAAGCGTATCGCAAGACACTGTCCCCGCCAGGACGACCCTGTGGATGTTAGATTATTCCAGGGAGAGATCGCACCAGTCACGGATCAGTTCGATCCTGACTGCGGAAACCTTGATTTAGATTTTTAGATTGATCGGTGATCAATCGGCTTACTTGGGGGGTGAAATTCTCATTTAAAAACTCATTTTACTCTTAATTCCCCTCACCCCGGC